ACCACCTTCTAGAAACAACAGCCCGTAGGTTCTGATCCTTTTCACTTGAAGTGGCTGAAAATTGATCCAGCATTCACTAAGATTTAGCCAATTCACGGGGAAAGAGAACTTTAATGCACTGCATCATTCCCTGCCTTTCAGATCCTCAGGCGTGCTTTATATCAAAAAACTTTACATCAGGCTTTATTATTATTATCCACCACTTGCATTCACATTATGCTTAATACCCACATCGGTGGGATAGGGCCTGTGGCACTGAGTAAGATGACAGTCCATCTGACAAGAGGTTATAAAGAATAGAAATGGCTGCTGGATACAGGTCTCTAGGAAGTATAGGAATAACGGGGAGGGGGGGCGGAAGGCATACAGCAGACTTCAGACACCCAAAGCAAGCCATTTGGAGCCCCTTTTCAACCGCCTTGGAGATGAATTTCCCAAAGCTGTAATTTTAAGCCTTATGACTGCCTCCTGCATCCTTTGCAACACACATTTTAATGTATCCCAATAAACCGGGAAGTTTTCATTCTTTCTTTCTGCACCTGCTTATTAAAATATGAAAGGCTGGTTCATGTAAGCGCTTTGAAAAACCACCAGCTTACCTCATTATGGGCAACTAAGCTGTATCCAGATTGTTTTACGTGTTACTTTCCAGTCAGATATAAACATTTCCCCACGGGACTCCTTTTGCAGGGGCAGCCGTTTCAAACGTGACAGTCACCTTTGTGCAGAACAGATCTGTGTGAGGTGTGTTACGTGTGCTGTGACAGTAATTTTGCCGACAACAGAGAAGTGAAAGCTTCAAAGAAAACATCAGTGACAAATGTGCTAGAAATACAGAATACCAGCTGGCTGGTCCTCCCTGAAGGCAAACCTTTTATTTAAACTAAATGGTCTTTCTTTTTAGGTGGCCCGTTTATCTGTCATAATTTGACAGTGTGTATAAATGATCCGAATTTATGTTTCAGAAGATAATTGCCCTGGCATTTAATCTCTGCGTCATCTCCTAAATCTTTCCAACACTTTACTGTTCTGTTCTTAGGCAGGTTCTGTATCTCTCAAATAGAGTGGTGTTTTCCCTCTCCCAGGCAGTCACCTAGTGGCTGCCACTGAGGGAAAATACCTGCTTGTAGTGGGAGGTGAGCACAGCAAGGAAGAAATACAGCAGAAGGCAACGAGGCTTGCAAGGCGTGTTGGAAGCTGCCCTGTCAGTACCTGAGGACTCTCTCCAGCACACTTCCCACACTGAGTGAAAAAAAAAATACCCTTCTTTACAGCTTCCTTTGATGCCTGGGGAGCTGTTTCTGCGTAATGGGCTGTCAGAAACAGCCACAGAGGTTGACCTCATGTCAGTCCTGGCCATCTCCTGGCCATTCACCTTCAGGCCCTCCCATATTAAGCTAGCTGTAAGGGAGAGCAGAAGGGCTGCAGGCCTAGCTCCAGGACACCTAGCAGCTTTGGGATGGTGCCCAGCACTCTCCATGGTCTTCGTCCTGCCAGCTCCTCTCTAGTTCTCAATGATGAGATGTCTGATCAGGTACAGAAGGTGATTAAGACTGCTCCTGACTAGCAAAAAAATACAAAACTTGCACAAAATTGTTTGGCACCAGGCACCAAAAAGGTTAATTGCCTTGGCTTTAGACTATGAGCATAAAAAATAAATAAATCTGTGCTACTACTCTCAGGAGACCAGGATAATTTGATAAATAGTGTCAGTAACTGAGGATCTAAGCACAGTGGGTAATGTGATATCATTGACCTGTGCAGGATTTGTGCCATGAGATAATTCCTTACACTTCATTATTCTGCTATCCCTAGGTTAACACATTTCTCTTCTAACTGCTCCCTGCCCCTCCTCCTGACCCAACCCCCACCCCCCCCCCCGAAAAAAAAAAAAGTAATAGAAATTTTACTAGGACTTCTTTTGAGCGTTTTGCAGTCAGTAAGAGTCTGCCTTTCAGGTTCATCATATATTTTATTCAGGCCTCAAATTCTCTATGCAGAAGCCCCAGGACCATTTCATTTGTTATCTTATATTAGATTACATTTTGAGAAATATTTGGTGCTGACAGGTGGGATTTGACATTCAGAACTGCTCAGCTGTTGTGTAAGCTGTTTAGTAATGTAGCAGAATTTACAGTAGTGCTTGGCTTTGAGCATCTGCAAATGTACTTTTTTTTTTCATAGGAACAATTATGCTGCTCTGAGGCTTGACAATCTGGATCCTTTCTGAAATGCCTCAGTTGGTGAAACTGGATGATGAAACCCCAAAATCTGGCCCAAAACCTGCTGTCATTTTAGTTCTGCTTTTTAAAGCAAGCAAAATTAGTGTGATTGTTCCAGTAAAGTTTGTTTTGGTTTGGTTTGGTTTTTTTTTGCTTGTTTGTTTTTCAGTGTAGGTAGGATATTTATGTTAAGGAAAGTTTAAAAAAAATACTGATGTCTATTGATACTGTTAAGTCCATAAATCCCCTTACAGTTCTGTAATGTCATAAACCCTCCCTATTCCCAGGTGCTTAAATCATTTTGTTATCTAATATAAAAGCATTTTTGAACCTTTACACTAAGTCTCACTGAAAGATATTGGGATTCTTGGTCCTACACGATTTTTGGAAAATGGAAGTCTTGAAAAACACTATTCCTGTAATTCTTTTAAGTGCATGTTACAAATTGCACTGTTCCTTTTTTTTTTTTTTTTTTTTTTTTTTTTGTCAAAGCCTTTCCTTTGTTTATATTTGTGCTTTTCTGCAGAAAAGGACTGGACTGGAATTCGGGGTTTGTCAGCTCCTGCTAGGAAGCAGCTGTATGTCCTTTGCACATCTGTCAAGGCAGGCTGGAGAGATCTCCAGATCTCAGCACCGTCCCAGTAGATTCTGCTCCTGGAAATTTTTGTAAGTAACAGTGATATATTTCATAACAGTATGCTTTTATTTGTCTGCAAATTTATCCTGACCCCTGTCTGCCGCTGCTGAAAATCACTGGGTTTACAGCTTTGCGCAACAGGGTTAGCTCAGGGCTGTTCTCTGCAGCGCAGATGACGTGAAGGTTTAGATGTGTGAGATGTTCATGAATGTGATGCACAGAGGGGATTCAGGGATCTTCACAGCTTGGGCAGCATCTGCTGATTTTCTCATGCCAGCAAAGACACGAGGATTGGGAAATGGAGCAAACACATGGGGATGTGGGGAAGGAAATGGAGAAAGTTAATTGGAAGCCCTTTCTCTCTCTCCGATTCCTACTGCAAAGAAATGCTGGTGGGGAATACTTTCACCCCATATGTGATGAAGGGGTTGTGCACAGTAACTGCTAATTCTGCTCATAGTTCTTATCCCAGTCCTTAGCAATTCTGCCAGGAGCTGCTGTGCGTGCAAGCAGTGAGCTATCAATTTCCTGCTGTAAAAGAAAAAGAGCATAAGAATAAATTTCATTTTGCGCAAGTCTGTTAATCATCTGTTAGTGGATTTTCCCTCCTGACTCGCTTCACTGTAGCCTTTGGCTTGACTTTGCTGGTTTTCTCCTGCTTCTTCCATTGTTATTGGTAATTGCTCCAGTCTGCTGTGCTGCAGGGAAGCAACACTCAGCCCAGGGCATCAGGATACTGTTGCTTGTCTCAGCCTTGTCAGGGAGTTCCAATTCTGAAATAGAAGTTTTTGTTTTCCTCTAACTAGGGTGTACTTGAAAAGTTCAAGCTTTCAGCCAGCCTGGGATGGGAGTATTGCCCTGGATGGCAGTACTACGTCAGTGGGAAGGAGCTGGGCTGTGGCAGCTCTGATTTTCAGAAGTGCACACAGCTTTTGCTGACTGAACTCAGAAGCTAAAGGCCAGGCAGGTACAAACAGGAGCTTAGCTTATCCCCACAGCTTTTAAAGTTGTTCTGCTCCCTACAAAAAGCATCTCAGAAGCCATGAAGTGGAAATGTTCAAGTTGACAACCCAGATCTGTTAAAATCAGTGCCAAAATTTCCACTGACTTCCTCTGCTCCAGCCAGGGTCTGTACTGAAGATTTCAACCACGGTCTGTTGCATGCTGATACATACGATACAGCTTTCTACTACTCAGCTTTGTTGTTTAGGAAATGTGTTCATTGTAAAAAGAGCATTGTAAAACAGCATAGACTATTTAAGATACTTCAGAAAGCCTATGTTGCTGTTGGAACCTTATTTCTATAATTTTTGTTACCATTCAGTTAGTTCATACAACATTGGAACCAAAAAAGAACTTTGACTAATTTTCCTCAAAATTCTACTTCTCAGGAAGATATTCTGTTGATTGAAAATGATTCATACTGCTTTCACTGAGAATGTAGAAAAACTTTGGAGGCAGAAAAATAACAACCAAGGGACACAGAGATGTAAGCAGAGCAGCATGTTCAGAATACGTGGCCATGCAAGATGAGAGCCCAGCCCACAGTCTCTGTTTTTTTCCTTTCTATCTGAAGGATGTTATTCTACCAGCAACGTCCAACAGTTCATGATATGCTCTGTTATGACCAGCCCAGGCTAGCAGCAGTCAGTGTTTCTGTTAATTGAAAAGACACTGATCCTACTCTTCTGATGAATTATTAGCACACAGTCTGCGGTAATCATTTCCTAGATCACATCATACCCCTGTGAAAGAGGCTCAGTCAGCAGCAATTCATCTCTCTACCTGTCAGTACTCCTCCTGGGTTGCAGGTTGGAGGAAACAACCCCTAAAGTATGCGATACTGCCTGTTTTGGATCAGCTGGAATCAGCAATGCTTAAGGTAGGGTACTGCAAAGGTGGCTCAGCCTCAGGAAACGCATAGTTGAACCCAGCAGCCGCAGTGTGGTGGCAATGACCAAATGACAGCAACCTTACTCGGAAGTCAGTTCAATTAACACCACTCAAACAGCAAAATAGCAGACAGCTACTCAGCATGGAAAGGAAAAGGAGGAGCAAATGAGACTCAGATGATGGTAATTAACATTTGGCTGGCAGAGAGGCATTCAGTTGGCCCAGCAGTTGGAAGCTCTTTATCACAGGTAAAATCCCAGTACAGGGGTGGGACAGTCCTAGATAAGACAACCTGTTTTGTGTGGTAGTGGAGAGGTCTGCTGCTGTTCTGTATTGATCTGTGTGCTGCAGTATTTGTAGGTAAATAACACGTTTGGTTTTCCTTTTCAGAAAATACATGCTTTTGGTTGTAGTTATGAGAAATGTACCTTGGACCTCCAACATCTCTTTATTAGGAAAATAGTATCCTTAGTGCTGGGCTAGAAGCAAAATGAATATTCTCATAATATGTACTTGGGAAACTGTTTTTTTTTAAGCTTAACAACACAGATTTGGACTACTAGAATCTTGTTTCTTAAACCTATGATTCTTTTGGGATTTCCCCACATATGCAAACTTAATTTTTAAATGTTTCTATAGTTACCCAGTTCTAATCTTGTCTTGTGTGTCGTTACAAATAATGAATTGATCAGGGCTTGATCCTACCTATTAAAATTACAGGGTTGTTCTTTGTTAGGCTTTAATAAAAGATGAACAAAGCCTTCCTCCTAATCTCTCAAAATATTTTGCAAAACTTTCATCGTTAACTCCTGCTTATGAATAGGTAAAACAGTGTATTGAAAGCTGCTGGGCAAAGCTCTGCTGTGCTGAATCTCTGGCAAGCTTCAGTAACACAAATATGATGTTGTCAGGCCATCACTGTAACTGGCACTTCTGCAGTCACTCAACAGGCTGAAAACAAAATCCTCACCTCTGGCATCTCAGGTACCAGCTTCTTTTACAAACGATCCTTTCTTTGTAACTCATTTCTCTGCCACTAAAAACTCCCTTGATTATCTGTTACCTATATTTGAAACAAACAAGACTATTTTTCATCTGTATGACTTTTATCCTGTATTCAAAACACTTGCTAATGTAAATCAAGAAATGGCACGCTTCTTGGAGATTGAATATGGTGTTATCCTGGGCATGGTTTAATGAGAGGAGAGCTTCAGGGTTCAGTCCCACTCCTGGTCAGCTGGGCCAGCTCCTGGGGCAGGAGGTAGGAGCAACCTAGGCAGACCTCAGCTGCACACAGCCCTCATCAGCCTCCTGTCATTCTGCAAGACAGCTCTCTTAGTTGGTGTTACACTACATGTATCTCTTTTAACAAAATGTAGCTCCCTGCCTGTTAGTAAGAAGGATAAAAAAAGGAATGTCAATGACTTCTCCTCGGGTCTCACCTCATTGCTCTGCCTTACTTTTATGGTTGGAATATCCCATCATTTTCAGGATGGATTTACATCCTTGACAGCACACTTAAGCACATAGCTATATATCTCCAGTCATATATGCCATGAAAGAAAGTGGTTTGGATGTAATATCAAGGATGATTTCACCTGCTGTTACCTCTATATGAGCACATTATTTGCTGTTTCATATTTACAAAGCATTTAGCAGGCATTGTTCCTCACTATTAACTAGCAAAATTATTTATCACGTGCTCCAGTGTGCGGCTTGTTTTCAGCCATTGCCTCTGGGAGGCAGTGACACAAGAATGAAGCCCCACCATAGTGGGTGCCTGTGTTTGCAGCTGCAGATACAATGAACCGGGTGGGTGCAGGATGGCTCACCAGGGCTGCTTCCTGCTCCTGCCTCCTGTTTTCCCTGTGGGCAGCTCTGCTGTTTATCAGCAGAAGCTGCTGTCCAAGAAATGTTTGTCCACCAAAACATTCCTCCACTATTGATTTGGTTGCAAAAGCTATTTGCATTTTTGATTGCTGCAACGGCACGAAGTACTCCATGTTTGAGAGGAGCCAGGTGACGCATGCCATTTCAGAAGCTTCCTAACTGTGATGATTTCATTAGTCTTTATTTATTTTTAATCCCCCCACACTCCCATGAAAAAAAATCTTTATACCTGCCTTCTTGGTTTTTCCCGTCCCTCATTTCTGAAATGGCAAGATAGCTCGTCTATACTTAGAGTTAAATACAAGCGTAAGCTCTGCATCTCTTTTATGTAGCTCTAATGGAGTGAAGGTACATTGAATTCATAGTGATCAGAAACCACTAAGTGTCTCTGAGCATTTTTAAGCTTAGTTTTCTTTTTTTTGGAATAAAATCTACTCTTACAGAGTATGGCACTGTAATTGACTGATTCCTGAGCTAGAGTGACCATTAATTTCTATGCTTCTGGGAATGTAAAACTGAAGAAAATGTTGTTTATTTGGATATTCATCACATGACTCGTTATTGTACATTAAACATTTTTATCTTTAAAATAATGGTTCAGCTATTATCAGCCACAAGATTCCCACTTCTCGGTGTAGCTTAAAAATTGAGACATAACTGAAGTTCTCCCAGGGTGATGCTGAAGACTTAGAGGACTGTTTGCAATGGGAAGTATTCCTGTTTCTCTATGTCACCAAAAAAAAAAAAAAAAGGCATTTTAATTTCCAAATAATATTTCAGTATCTATGAAGCAGTGGAGACTGATGGTGCAGTCCTTAATCACTCACACCAGAATTGATGGGAGTGAGTAAGGTTCCAAAGAGGAGCCACAGATGATGGATATGGATATATAAAGGATGTATATAATGGATAGTCTCTATATTGCAGTTTTTGCTGTTGATGTTACTCGGAGCCTAATGCTGGATTCTTGGAGTGGGACGTCATAATGGACAAGGAGTGAGGAGAGACGGAAAGGAAGGAGTAGCTGAAAAAAAAAATCTGTAAAGATACTTTAATATTTTGTCCAAGCTAGCAGCCTTCTCTCCAAAAATAGGCTCTATAGACACCATGAAGTCTGGTTGGCTGATAAATCAGGCCTGCCATGAACCAGATAGTGTTGGAGACAAACCATCCATCTGAGACAGTCCAAGGCCGAGCTGAGCATCAGCAGTGCCTCATGGAAATACATGGGGTTAGGCCAGCCCTACTGCTCCTGCTGTGGCAGGTGAGAGGGAAAGGGGGCTGAGCAAACAGATCAAAACCATGCTGGAGCCAAGCCCAGAGGAGAGGATGGAAGGAAACAGATGGAGTCAGAGGTTTTGCAGGATTTGGTTTGGATTAGGTGCTGCATCAGTGCATTGTACAAATGTGTAGCAGAAGATGGCTTATTTGCTCTTTTTGTTAATGTAAACTCTTCGCAAGGCCAAAGATATATAGAGAGATATTTAATCTATCACATTAAAGTATTTTTTTGTAGTACTATGGCATGCGTGCTTGAAACAAACCCTGCTGGGCACTGCTTACCCCCTGCCCATTCCAGCCAGGAGCCTGGGCAGGAGGCGGCCCTGATGCCCATCTCTTCCTTTTACATTTGTTCTCCTAAAACAGTTATGGGAAGTTGCCATGCAAAAAGGCAGCTTAGGTTATTCTGCCTGCAGGCCAGGGCTAGTCCCTGTCTAAAGCTCAGTGTCTGTCATGGTGTGCACAGCGTGCGTCACTGCTCAAGCATTTAGGCACGCAGTGCTCTAGGAGAGCTCACAAACAGCATGTGTGATTCTCAGTGTGTCAGGAACGGGGCAATCCCCACAGAGTGGGGTCAAACACAGGGGCACTCAGAACAAGCTATTCGAGTCAGGTAGATAAAAGAAAAGGTTACTTTAATCAAGGGATTGCCAGAGACAAAATACGACTTCTGTGCTGTTGACATTCTCCTTTTTCAGCTAAAGCATATTGGCTGTCTGTCAGCTGTCTCTCCTTCACCTCTTTATATGATATATGGCATTAACTCCAGGTGAGTTTTCCCTTCCCTCTCCTCATCCCTCAGAGCAAGGGATGCTTAAAGACAGGTTTATGTGAAAGGGCAGTGTGCTAGGTCAACACAGCCACCTCACTGTGGAGTGACTTCCCCACCAAAATGACTTATCTCCTTCAGAAGCAAGGTGCCACAGTCATTGCCCAGATGGGAAGCTCGATGGAGACATCCTGTAAGAGTTTCTGTCTCGTGTAAGCTAGATAGGAATCCTGTTTTGTACAATTTATTTTGTAAATTTTTCACCTTTTTGGCAGTGTGATGATACGTTGACCTTTGGTGTGGAGATTTTTTTTTTTGTTGAGGTAAGTGAAGTTTGTGAAGACTGGGTGATGAGTGTTGATGAATTTTAATAACATAAAAGCAGTTTTGCTTTCCAACATTCAGAGCACTTTGTACATGTGCAAGGAGCTGCCACTCTTATGCAGAGGTCTTATATTAGTCCAAAGGTTTCCTGAGCACAAGCAATTATTGATGCTAGCTGGAGCTCTGGAGAGGCACTTCTGAGTTATCTGGCCAGATACAAATAAAAGTAACAGACCTGCCTCCTAGGCTGAGCTTTAAGGCAAAGCCCCCCAAAACACCAACCTTTTTGCCACTGGAGCACAGTTTGTTTCTCCCTAACACCAGGCTCAGCTCACAGCCCTTTGCCACTGAGTTTCTGCCATCAGTCCATGCCTCTGCTTGCTTTCTTACAGATGTCCTGGGCCTGCAACTGCAGCAGCAAGCCAGGACCCTGAGGGCACTGACAGCTACGTTACCCTGAACAGCCTCACCTGGGGCTCAGCCACACCTGCTGGCTCTAACTGAGGTCACCTCTGGGCATCTAGAACCTTCTCAGAGCTGTTGGGCTGGTGCTTCACCACCTCTGTCTGCTGGATGGACCTCAGCCAAGCCAATGGTGTAAGTCTCTTTTCTTTAGTGCTTGTCAAAGGGCTTTGCTCTGGGGACTGAGCTGTTTTTTTTTTGTTTTTTTTCCTCCCTCCCTGCTCAGGGTTAGTGCATTTCAGAACAAAGTTTTCCTTTCTGCCTGGTAGTAACTCATCTGTCATAGCAGTAAAACCTCGTGAAGCACGGGACTTGAACCTGGTGGGGGGAAATCTCCTCTTTCTGATAACACATTTGACTGCCTTGTAGGCGTTTAATAAGGTGCATCAAAGAAAATTGCACAGATTGGCTGCTAGTGAATTGTGAGCTGTTACCTTCTGGTAACATCTAGAATCCCACGGCAATGCACACTGCGTTAATATCCAGTTAACTGGGGAACCACATTGTTACCCCATGTGGTGTGTGGCAGGCAGCTCAGCTACAGCAGCACAGAGTTTTAGTGATAGTCGGCTGATAAACCCTAATTAGTCTCATTTCATTGAAAGAATGTGCCCTAACTTTAATTAAGGGAAATTGGACAGTCTGTGCAGTTTCCAGAGGTCCTTTTGTGATTATGGTGTATAAAAAGCAGAGAGTGGTGAGGTCGGTTTTTATTGTGCTGTGTGTGGGTGTTTGGCTTTTTTTTTTAAGGGCATGTGTATGTTGTAGTAGATTTCTCTACCCTGCCTTATTCTTCCCATCTGTAACAGAGAGACCCTGATCCTAACAGAGAGTTAAGGTGAAGTTAAGTCATTCATTCATTTTGATAGATCAATGTGCATCATATAATATACTGAAACCAAACATACTCTTCTTTTTTTTTTTTTTTTGGGGGGGGGGGAGAGATATCCCTGCCCCTCAAAAAAAAAAAAAAAAAAAAGGCAAAAAACATATGCTCGGTATTCCAGAGGCTAAAGCTGGAGATTCAAAGTCTGGGGATCTGAAAGTACTAATCTGCAGTGCTTGGAGAAATGAGTTAATAATGGGCATTTACAAAACTAAAACTCATATCCTGATAACAACCCTGGAAATGAAGGACAAAGATGGCAAAAGAAGCAGTGCAGCATGCTGAGGATAAGTTATTTTTTTCATTGGGCTCTTGGGTGCTGAATTATTCCCTAATGCCAAGTCTGCTGTGGTTTTTCTTGATTACTGTCCATAATTATGGACTACCTTACCACATCCAGACATGCAACGCTGATGTTCTTCTGCAGTGTGTCTGGCAGGAGTCTGATTCCTGAGCATCAGAGGTCTGTGGTTGACCATAGTGGGTTGAGCACACACAGAGTAGGGTTGAAATGCCGTAGTAATTAACTACGGGTTAATCATATTACTGCAGCTCTGTTATGAGGTTCTCATGCAATGGCAAAATTCAAGGAAAGTAAAAAGAAGCAGATCTAAGCTTATTTATGGGTAATACAGTTTGGATAAGAGAGAGAATCTAATAAGCACAAACCCACTGCTCTCTTCTCTCACCACCTTCCAGAGCTGATTTCAAGACCAAGCTCTTGGTGTAACAACACCTTCCTAGTTTACTTCTTAACACTGCAGTTCAGCTTCACTGTTTTCTGAGCTGTGCTTTTATGCCAATATGAAGACTCAAATGAAGTAGTTTGTTTGTGGCAATGAGAAAGAGGTACAGAAAGTAATGTGACAAACAGTCCCAAACTTTTCTTAGAGAAGCTGAAAATTTTCTGATGGAGATGCATTTCTTTTTCCTGGGGCAGTGGAGCATGGTCTGCATGTGGCTGCTGTCCTGGCAAAAGCAGCAGGCAAACCCACAAAGTAAAGGTGGCACCTGAGCAAAGAAAGCAGGGGAAGAAGGTGGCCTCCCCTATGAGGCACACAATTACTGACCCTGGAGCAGTATTAAAAACAAAGGCATTTGGAAGGCTAAGTCAAAGGGATTTTTTTTTCCTGTGCTTAAGCGAAGAAATAAATGACACTGCAGTCGCACTTTATGTAGTGAGCACCATTTGTAAGGTGTCTGAGTGGCTCTAGACAGTGCTGTAGTTACTGCACTAATGAACATTGTGAAAATTGGGTTTGCAGAGGCCACATAAACTAATAGGAACAGTGCTGTCAGGAAACAAAAATAATTCTGATATCTGACAACTGACTAATGTAAAGTAACATCTGCTAAGTGAAGAGTTATGACCTTTGCTGGTGCCAGCCAGCCACACAACTGGAGAATTAATTCTGCAAGTTGTTGTGCCAACAGTGGGACTGGTGTCCGGAAACATTAAAACAAAGAGCACAAATCTGCTCCGACAGCGTGAGTGGAGTCATCATGAAACATGAATAAGGCTGTGCTGGCCCTGAGCACACAGCGAAATGCATCATTAAGGGATGTTTTTGTTTGCCAGTGCTGCTGCTGATGGCAAGTTTTGTTCCACACCTTGGACAGGAACAGCAAACCCAGCGTGTGTTAGGCTCTGTGTAAAACTCTGTCTACCACACACGGTTTGCTTCTGCACAGCAGTGAGCAATGCACAAGATTAGCTGGGTGTCAGAGCAATGCCACGTGTTACCAGTAGCACTGGTAGACGCAAGGCTTAAAGCAGCCCCATATGTCACTGGGGAAGTGTTATTTCAGACGTGCAGGTCTCCTCCTCCTGCAGGAGGACACGATGAGTATGAGCCCAACCTGTTGCACCTGGAGACCCTCTTTACACGGGCATGCCTTTGAGCAGCTGCTCTCATACTTTGCATTTGCCCGGATATTGCTTGTTACTGTGTATGTGCCTGCCCATATAACAGGTACCTTTTGAGTGTTAATAATTCACTCCCCACCATGCTCTTTCTAAGGAGTACAGTGCTGCCAAGCATCCTGCTGGTTTCTTGGCAGTAGAAGAAATAGGCTGTACACAAGGTAATTTAAAATACTGAGCTTTTGGAAACCATCAGTGTTTGCAGCCCTGTTACTGGCCAAAACTGAAGGTTCATAGCTGTTAATATGAAGCTATAAACATGAAGCAGGCAGCAGACCAAGAGAGACTTCATACAGGGAGATAGGGAAGGAGCGAAAGCAAGTGCTTTCTGCAACTCTTGCTCCCATTGAATAATTGACAAACCAAAAGCAGGGGAAAAAAAAAACCACCCAGGCTCTCTGAAGTCAATGTGCAAATACTTTTGTAGCTGAGGATGGGCCTCAGTAACCACTTGGTGTGAGCATGGTGCTTTAGCTGAGCACAGGCATAGGTTGGTGCTGTGGAAATGCACAGGACAGCAGCAGTGTGACTGCTCAGTGGGTGGACATCTGCTGGTAGGCTTTTGGCACTGTAATTAGTAACCCAGGTTTTCAGAAGTGCTGAGAACCTGCTGGCTTCTGTCATCGTTATTAGGTGTTCAATGCCTTGAAAATGTTTTTCAGCCTGGTCCTGCATCTGGAAATCCAAGTGTTGGCAGCAGTCTGCTGAATGCTCCCCTTGGGAGCTGATCCCATGATGCCAGCATTACTGCAAGAGCTGGAGGTAGGAGTGGCGTGCTGGGGTGCAGGTATCTGCACAGCAGGTGGGCTTTAATACAAGGACTTAACGTGTTTTCCGAGGTCCCACTTGGAGTTCAGCTCAGTGTACCTGTTACAGTTATGTTTATGGTTGTTCTGAAAGAGCGAAGACACAGAGTCCGAGTGCATGTGGGGCTGCGTAAAGGCTCCCCTGGGGATTTCAGGTGTACCCAGAGGCTTCTGTTGGGAGCACTTTTTGATGGGAGGAAGGGGCTCCGTTTGCGTTTTCTGGGGTCCTATTTAAAATTCAGCTCAGTACTGAATTACGGTAGATCTAGAGAATCAGACCTGCTGGCTGCATTCTCCAAAGAGAGATTTTTAAAAATCTTCCAACCCTCCTTGCCAGAAGGCCGGACAGCTGATGAACGTGCCTGGTGGTGCAGACAGTTCCTTGCCTCGGCTGGGGGGGCACAGGCAACATGGGGGCACCGCAGGAGGCTTCCAGGAGGCATCCTGAGCCTCACCTCTTCTACAGGCTTGGCCACAACGAGCCTACAGTCCTCGTGCTGTGGGAGGGAAAAAAAAGAAAAAAAAGAAAAAAAGAAAAAGGGGGGGGGGGAATATGATGTCTGCTAGATTTACTGACTGCTAAAAGCCTCGGTGCTTCCCTTCAGTATTGAAGCCTTGAAAAAGAAGAGTGAGAGCACCTGGCATTTTATTATTTACAAAAAAAAAAAAAAAAAAAAAGAAGAAAGAATTTTTTTAAAAGTGCGTCTCCCGGCGGTCCAAGGGCACCACCTCGTGGCCGGCCGGGCTGCGGGCTGCCCGGGGATGGCCGCCTGATTTATCCGCCCGGGGCCTCGTCTCAGGCTGGGGAAAAGCATTAAAAGCAGGGCTGGCTTTGCAAAAGGGCTCCCAGGGGTGACTGTTTTCCCCTCGTTCTTGTGTGCGTGTCTAGGAGCTGTTCTTGTGGGAGAACGGGGATCTGCTCTTGCTGTTTCTTGAGGATATAAACTGTTATGAATGAAGTCTCAGCTCAATCTGAATTTAGTAATATTTATACTTATATAAAAAGTATAAAAGGTATAAAACTATAAAAGGTATAAAAGGCAAGTAAACAGCACGGGTGTTCAGAGAGTCCATGCTCCACCAACAAGCACACACGAGCATCAAACATTTTAAATACATAGAACATTGCTTTTACATACTAAACCTGAGTATGCCTATACATATGTAAACCATATGTAAAGCCTCTCGCTGGTAAGCAGTTGTGCATTATGGGGAATCGTACGTCCTTAGGAACAAAGACTGTCCTGGTAACCTTACAGCTTATTCTCCTTCTTAACAATCGGCCAGTTTATGAGCCTGAAATATGGGACCAAGCTGAGGTCAAGGTGTGGGACTCTGCAACTAAAAAGGGCAAGGTTGCAGTGGGATTGCTCGGCACCTGGCGAGCAGTCTCTGAGGCCTTAAAGAGCTGTGTGGGACCACAGTCAGAAACGTGTGGTTTGCCAGACAGTGAGGGAGCTGCGGGCTCCTCTACTGATCCGACTGCTATGCCATGGGCCCCTCTGCTGCCACAGTCATT